CTTTTTTTTTTTTTTTTAATTTTTTTCAAGGTTTCGAATATTCGATGATTAAAAAAAATAAATAAATAAATATATATATATATATATTGCCCCTATCGAATAAGAGGTGACATGACGTTCGATCAAACTGGTATACCATCTACTACGTGCCTGGTGTTCAGTTCGGGTTCGGTAAGCTGCGTACCATCGGTGAAACACGTTGCCAAATGCGCGACAGATTTTTCCTCGTGGCCCTACGACACTCATCGATGCCGGATTAATTTTGGCTCGTGGGTCCATTCAGGGGAGGAAGTGAACATTTTTCTTGACAAAAAGGGGGTAAATTAGAAATTGAATTACGACTACGATCATCAAAGGTTGGATTGTAACGACTTATTACCTTTTCTACCTTCTGATATCACTTTTTTAGTTCCACATGGACGGGTATACGAATAATTCCAAATGGGATTTCAAAGTTATAAAAGCGACCAAAGTGTTGAAGATGTACGCTTGTTGCCCGAACGACACTTATCCGATGATCGTTTACGAATTCTCCATAAGCCGACATTACGGCATATTGCCCGCCCCCTACGTCATCCCTGCCGTAACAATGATGTTGCTCACGTTGACGGTACTATGGCTGGACTCGAGATCAACAGAGAGAATGATCGCAGCGAGTGTGAATTTGATCTGTCATATACTTTGCATGTCCGATTTGCATTGGCAATTACCTCACAATAGCACCAATCCTCCCAATATACGTAAGTAATTTCCAAAGTGCGAATTGCAAATGAATTAATGTAACGCAGATATGATATATATAATATATATAATATATATAATATATATAATATATGATATATATATATACATATATATAATATGTATACGATATTTATGATAATGAAATTTCTTGTGTATATAAAATCAAATTAAATTAAACTTTACACCGTGTAAATACAGTTGTTAGCACGTTATTATTTTATCATAAATATATAAATACATAGTATGGAAATATAATTCTTTAAGTCAAGTAGGAAAGCGTATATGTATATATATATTTTTTTACAAAAAATTTATTTCTTCCAGTGCTCTATTATAGAGATTCGCTTGCCTTGTCCGTATTCGCTTTAATTTTAACCGCTCTGCTTCGGAAAATGCAAGAAATGAACATCGAGGTGCCATATTGGATTTCTATAATAACTTCGTTCGTCTTGAACAACAGAGCCGGACGTTTCCTTATTCTTACCGAGAACGATACCAAATTATCCAATCAGGGGATACTTGGCGAAGAGACTGAAAACAATTCAGAGGTTTCGAAATCTCGGACTAAAGAATCGGCGTGGAGACATTTCGCGGCCATAATCGAATGGCTCTCTTTCTTCATCGTGATTTTCACTTACATCATCATTCTGATCACTCTTGTACCATCCACGTGAAAAATCGAATCCCCCTACGTTCTTCATCAGTAATCGATTGTAGATTCTCATTCTCAGAATAAATAATAATTTATAACGATGTTTTTTTTTTCAATATCGTATTGATAATAGTTTCATTTGTTATCCTTTCTCATATTTCTCATATCTTTCGAATAATATTTTTTAAATTTCGATTAATTTTTTTTTTGTAAAACTTCAAATAAATTGGAATTTTAAATGATATTTGTTCGATATCTTATTAATCTTAGATAATTTACAAGTAAATAATTAAGAGTAATAATCAAATAATTTCTGATATAAATTCTGATATATAAAAATATAAAATCTTTGAGTTTTGATGATAAGAATATATTTACATCATCTTATTCTATATATAATTTTATTTCAAAAATAATTATTAATGAATATTGGTAATAAGATCGATATTATCTTTAGAAATCTTTATTTTCCTTTATTTTTACAATTTTACGCTAATTTTCTGATTAGGCAAAGATCGTTTCGATCGAGAGCCCATTTATTTTTTTATTTCAGTTGGTAGTGAACCAATTCGAAAATACCACATCTGATAAAAATCCGATAAACGAACGAAAGGGGGCGGTCTTCGATGTCCACGGTTTAACATTTCACTGGGCGTGTTCACTACCCTTTTCGATTCATCTCGATCTACTATTAGTCATTGCCGATCTGTCATTTCGTTTTCTTCTCTCACCTCTGTTAAACATGAAGAATATATTTCCCGTTTTATTCGTGATCATTAATGTTTTATTACATGGACAAGTGATCTGTTATATTTGCAAAGACATCACAAGCACTTCTGCACTTCATAGATTGAAACAATATCTGTTCTGCGATTATGACAGGGAGGTTATTCCCGAAGAAAAGAATGGCACTAAAATTGATTTTGGATTAAGCATTCAACATTATAACGTTGTAAGTATTTTTTTTTTTTTTTGCAAAGTATAAATAAATCGAAAATTATCAATTTCTTTTTACTTTATTCCATTCCATGCTCTTCAGGATGAATATTCGCACACCGTCGATTTCCACGTTCTGCTAAAATTGGTGAGTGAAATAATAATAATGATAATCGGTCAAGACATCCGATTTCAATTTTTATAATTTTCTAAATTCAATTGAGATTGAAATTTCTCATATATTTGATATAAACGATAGATGTGGAAACAGAATCACTTCACGTGGAAATCATCCGAATTCGATTCTATCAATTCTATTCGCGTAAAGAGTTACGAAATCTGGGTCCCCGATATCGTGATGCACAGCGTGTAAGTTGCTAGCAATTGAAATGGGTATGACGTAAATCGTTATCATATCCGATTAATTTTTTCTTTTTTTTTTTTTTCTTCTTTCATAACACAATTTCTTCTTCGTAATACAAATTACATATGATTAACATAATCGTTCAATATTATGATTATGAAATTTTGCTCGCATGTGTTTCACGTCTGTTTACGAAATATAATTAATTAATCTTATATAGGAAGATTCATGTATTATTAATATCTCGTAGATTATCACGTTTTATACGAGTTGTTACAAGCTTTCTTTAGCTCAAATTCTTTATTTGCTCATTGTTCACAATTTTCAATTTTTTAGAACAAGTGTCGGTGTCGATCTTGAGATGCCTTCGGTCGAATGCATAGTGTTCAATTCTGGCACTATATTGTGCGTACCGTTCACTACTTATACACCTGTCTGCGAATTTGATCACAGTTGGTGGCCTTACGATATATTGAACTGCACTATACATATTGCCTCGTGGTCTCACGGAAGCAACGAGATTAAATTAAACTCTTTGGATACTGAGGAACGAGTGTGTATAAAATTTTAATGTTTGTAATTGAATCATGTTAATTTTAATAACAATAATTTAACAGAGTTTTGAGTTTTTAATAGATAGATAGAAAACTCGATAAAATTATTGATACAAATTATTTCCCTAGATTTTAGATGATATGTATAATAATAACACGGAATGGGAGATAGTGCATATGTCTCACACCGAACGTACAATAGATTCCAAATTTGGTTTAGGTTTTACCACTGATTTATTATCCTATAATATTCTACTAAGAAGACATTATTCCATGAATAGTACGACGTATGTGACTTTG